TGCTGATTAGATAGATTTGTTGTTATAGAAATTGCTAGGATATACTAATGTGTAAAAGTAAAAAGTTGAGGCTGAATGTTATTATCTTGTATTGTGCTAAAAAGAATCAGAAGTCAATGCTTATTTTTCTTTCTTCTCTTGTATCTCATATTTTCTTTCCTCCTCACTTTTTCCTCCCTTAATTTTTTATTATTCTCCTTTGTATTTTATACTTTGATGAAACAATAAATTTGTTATATAGTAGAAACCGGTAAGGACACTTCATCTGAGAATTAGAATATCTCTGAGAATTATGACAAGGTTGTCCACGTTGAACAACTCAGTTGCCAAAATTTCAGAGATTATCCATTTTGCAAAATTGATTCAAAGATATTAAACTTAAAACCATTGTTTGTAAACCCTCTTAGACTAAGAAGATTCCATTTAGTGCCCTTGAATGATAACATTATAGAAACTGGTGCAATCCATTATAATAAAGATTCATAAAGAAAAGGTATTCTGCATTTTTGACCATCCTCTGATGGAAACATAATTATTTCTTAGAATACTTGTTAAAAGATAATTAATTTTTTTGTAAAACTATTATGGGTAAGGAATGGAATTCTTGTCCTTAAATTAGTTACAAAGTGGCCAAGGATTGTGATGGACAATGTTTTACTTTTCTTTTTTTCTTTTTTCATTTATTGGCAGACAGCAAGTAGCCCGATTCCCACATTTCAATGAAATCCCAATAAAAGAATGACTTCATGAGGCAAATTCTCTTGTGGGACTTTTTCATATCAGGAAAAAGGAAATAGAGAAGATGAAGCTATGACTTCAGGAGAATATACCCATTTCCTACCCTTCAACCTCCAAATTCTTCGTGCTAAGAACAGATTTCTTACTACATTATTTTTATGTGCCATGTTTCCACATGATTTTGCTGCATTGGCATGTCATTTTGAGTTCTGAGAATTCTGTTTGACTTCAATATTGAAGTCAATCTGGCAGATTAATCTAGAAGTTTTAAATACAGAATTGAAAGGAATATTATTAACAATGAATACATTTAGTGAGCATTAAGAGTCTTTCCACTTAGGTCATTTAACTGGGAAGATAATAGCTGACAGCAGACAAAGGTTGATGTTTTGTAAAATGTCAACCTTACATAGTGGGTAAAATTCTTGGCCACAATCCACAATTGTTCTTTGAGCATTATATTTCATCTGTTTCCTTTTGGTCCAAAGGACAATTTTATTGAGAAGATTATAATTTATGAAGGGCATTAGAATAAATATTTTGAGCACATTTCTGCCCTGATTATGGTTCTTCTGCTGAAAAACCAATGGGAACAAAAATGTTACAAATGAAATTCAATAACCTTTACATCATGATTTGGTGTTATTCAGAGGAATCTTCCTTTGCCTTCCTACTTAAACATTCTCTAGAATTACAATAACGACAGACATAAGGTGAATATAAGGCATGAATGAATAAAATAATCTTACAATAAGTATAAAAGCAACAGAAGTAAGGAATGAAAGTAAGTCAAAAAATAATTTCTTGCCAGGTAACAAGAAAAGTCTTTAGATTTCTTGCAACATTGAAAGTGTTGTACGTTCTGATAAAAAGAATGTCTCCTTTAAACCCGAGCTAACCATTTGATTTATAGATTATATGGTGGTTGGCAATTGGTCTTTCAAATGAAGATACAAAATAGCAAGAGAATATTAAAAAAAACAAGAAAATTAGCAGGCAAAGTTAGGAATCAAAAGGACTGAAAGAAAATTTTGAGCTTGAAGCATTTGTATTTAACTTCTGAGAACACAAAAAAGCTTTTAACTTGTCAGAGACTTGTTAGGTAGAATGGGGATTTCAAACATCTACCACACTTTTGTATTCTAGAACAATATGCTTTTTTTCCCCCATTTTACTAACAAAAAGTGCTTTTTTCTTTTATTTTGCCTATGAGTAATGTCTCTTTGAACAGCCAGAATGGCATGTTGATTTGTACAAAATGTGCCTTGATTCTGCACTGCAGAAATTGTTTTTACTAGCAGAATATTTTTATAATTGTACCTTAATTTAGCACTGTTGATTGATATTGGAAGTATGTAATAAAACAGCTTACAACATGCATCTCAAATATAAAGGGGAGGTGTCATCTAAAAAGGAAAATAAACATAACATCTGTTATCTTTTACCACAGCTAGTAGCATTTGTGTGAAAAGTGTCAAGTATTGAACTAAACATGACTCAAGATAGTTCTGAAGATGCTAGAATTATTGGTTAACCTGCTTTAATTATTATTTTTATTTTTCAATCCTGCATGAAACCCTTGATTAAGTTAACATTAAGATACAGGATAGATTGGTATTTTCCATTTTTAATTTCAACCGTAAAACATTCTATCAATGCCAGGTTTGAAAATTATAGCAGAGATAATAGAAGTCTGACCCTAGTAGAAGTTAGAGAAGAAAAAGTTGTCCCTCAAATGTCAAGGCACCTTGTGGTCCAAGAAATTAAAACTAAATTGTTTGCAGTATGAATCCCAAGGTGGTGCTATATCTCAGCTGCCATGACATTTAGCCAGTGACTTTTCATAGCTTGTTAATAATGTATAGCCATCCCAATATAAATTTGCAGCGATGGAACTAGCCTGTTAGAGTGAAGCAGTTAAGGAGATTTATTTTGCCCAGAAAATGCATATATGAATGAGAGAGCAGAGATGAAATCAGGACAAATGTCCAAAGAATTTCTCTTAGATTGTCTTATTTAATGGGGCACTGGGACAATGTCTACTTTTATTTATTATTCTCTTCTTCTAACTCTTTTTTTAAAAGTTCAATTAGTATTCAGATAATTATGAATACTAATCAGCTTGATAATCTCTACCAATTCATTCATCTCGACAATTCTTCTAAGTCAAAAGAGCTCAAGAGAGCTAAAGGTAACTGCATAAGTGCTGTCTTGTTAAAGTATATTGCTGTTAATGATTTTTTTTAAAAAATAAAGCCAGCTCCCCGCTCTGACGGAGGATGCTAGCCTTCAACCTGGCAGTTATACAAATTATTCATAAACTGTGAAATGTCAGCCGAGAGATGAAAAGAGATGAGAAAAGGGTACAGGTGAGCAACAGAGACAAAGAACAATAGGTTACAGCAGGTTATGGATTGGAATTGAAGGGGGAGGAAAGGGAGTTTGACATTTGAAGAGTTGTAGGCCCAATATAAGACTGCAGGGAGCTATTCAACCAGGAGACGCTTAACTTCTCTTGACAACCTCTGGATATGTGAACACTTACAGCTGGGAAAAGGATTCAGCTGCTTTCATTTCAGCCTAATTCGTGGAGTAAATAATTACAAAGGGCATTCCAACTCTACGGCTTTCAGACTTTTCTACAATACTCAGTGGAGCTGAAAACAAATTACAAACATATATTAACTAAGGAAGTTTGAAAATAAGTAGACAAATATGCCCTGTTGGCTTCGGTGTCACTGAGGTCTAGCATATACAGAGAATTGACTCAAATTGGCTGCTGGAGACCTTCTCAAACTCAGCAGCAGCATGCATTAATTTGCAAGGAAAAAAAAGCATGGTCCCTAAAGGAAATGAGGGTACTGAGTTTTGCACTTTTCTAGCATGTCTGGAAGTGTGTTCCTTCCTCTTTATCTGGCATGCCCCTTTTCCCACCTTCCAAGTCATATCTTCTCAAAGGAAGGAAACACAAGTCATTTTTTGGGGTGAAGAAATGTCTGTCAGGCCCGAGGAACATGGAGTAGGAAAGGGGACTGTTGCAAAAGAGACACCTCAGTCCCAGGGAACAGGGAAAGTGCGATAAAGAGACTTAGACTTAAACACAATTAAGACCCATCATAATTGTGCTTGGTATAAGTTGACCTGGATAATTGCTTTTGCAGGCTTTCAACATTGTTACATTGCCCTACTAACAACAAAGATGTTTCCTGAAATCCAGTGCTTCTTGCTTCCTGAGTTTGTCAAGTCTTGAGGGTTTAACCATTCTCATTTGCCAGAGGGTCTGAATAAGCTCACTGTTTCTCCAGACTGAGAAAACTCCATTGACAAGAGATCATGTGCCCATGTTAGTTAGATTTGAAAGTTAGGGCTGGCAACAAGAAAGCAGTGAAAAGGCATGACAAAATTAGGTTTGGGGTGATCTTGGCCATAGTGTGGTAGAACTTGCTTTTAAACTTGCTATTTTATGCTTGACCTCCCAAAATTTGATTCTTTGGTGTGCCTTAATCAAATGTCCTTCCTGAATTGGTATTATTCAGCTGCTGTATATGGTGATGCCTACTAAGCATATTCTCATTTCTCTGCTTTTAGAATTGCTGAACAAAACAAGAAGGCAATCAACCTTTTGTGATTGCTGTTTTAACTAACTTTATTCCTAAGTAACATAATTGGAAATAGGGTTGCTACCTTTATTTCTTGGCACCAGATATTGTCCTTCAAAATTTCCCAAAAAGTGCTTTGGGAATGCTCTTACAAATGAGAGTCTTAAAGTTGGAACACACTCAAAAAAATTCAGAAAGGCTTATCAAGGCAATATTAAAAATATGCTGAAATCACTACACTAGGGCCACATGATTGGTTCCAATTAAACTGATTTATTGCTGCTCATGCCTAGGCACAAGAATCTAGTGAACCAACTGGCAAGCACTATTTTGGTGTTAGATAAGGGTAATGGAATTCAAGAAGTATTGGAAGAAGAAGTCCATTTGTGGCTACATAGAGATTCTAGGCTGATTCCTTTTTTTGCCTTCACCTCCCTTCCCATGCCCCAGCTCTGCCACTCCTTTTCCTACATCTTTCAAGCCCTTTGCCAGGCTCTAGGAAAAAGTACTATTCAATGGAAATGAATATCCATTAATATCCTGATGGCTATTTAACAGGAATTAAATTAAACCAAGACAAAGTAAATGCATAAAACTTGTGTTTATTTCTACATCATTATGAAATGATATATTATACTAAATTATAATGAATATTATATTTAGGTGCCTCAATGGATTTTCTGGCCAATTTTGTGAAATAGACTTGAATGAGTGCAGCTCTTCTCCTTGCTTACATGGCTCCGTTTGTGAAGATCTTATTAATGGATACTTCTGCAGATGTCAGAAAGGTAACAAATGAACAAAATTCTTTCAGTTAAGTCTTTTACTATTCCAAAATTCAGATTTGAGCAAACTTTCCCTTTTCTTCTGTACCAAGGCAATATTTACTGGAATTAAACAGTAGAATGTTTGTTTCTCCAAATATAGCATTATATATCAGGAATCCCTTTTTGTTGTATCTTAGGTGCAAATTGATCTAACCTCTTGATCAAAAAGCATCACAGAAGAAAAACATTTTCTAGTGGAAACAACCGAATGCACTTAAAATGTTGTCTTGGGTCCAAAGGGAAAATTAGTTGTTTTAATTAGCATTCTACAGTGGCTAATTCTGCCATGTGTTGGACAGTTTGATTGAATGTTACTGTAAAGTAAATTTGTGGAACAATTTGCATTTGGAATGAGGACAGCTCTTAGAATTAAGTGAAGAAAAAGAAATTATTGTTGTTTCACTATAACACTAAACCAGGAGGTTTATATGAAGTAGAGTGATGCATAGACCTAGTCATAGTGGTTTGTAAATCATGGTTTAAAATATGCACCACTCTCAGAGAATAGTACATGGCTTCCACTATTGCATCTACAATACACAATCAGTGGTGGGTATTTTTCCCTTTCCTTCTTTTTTCTTTCTTTCCTGCCTTCCTTCCTCTCCCTCCTCCCTCCCTTCCTTTTTCCCTGTATGTTCCATTTGTTGGAGTAGTAGAGGATGTTTCTAAGGAGCATTTGGGAGGGGGTTAATTTCAGGAAAATAGACCAGTTTTAATGCACTTTGATAAAAGGCAATTTACTTTGGAAATCATTTCAAAGAAGTAAAGCTCACCAGATTCTCTTGGGAAAAAATTGAAAATTTGTCTTCATTGTAGAGAAATAGCAATCTCCTACCTAAATTCTTTGCTCGTAAATCAGTGAAGAATTTCAAGAAGTTATTCATTCCTAACTCCAGCTAATGGAGCATGAGGGCAAAGAACCTAAATCCTAGGTATGTTTCTACTCAAAGCAGAGCCCAAAGACCCATTATCAGTAACACAAACACTTTACAATTATAGCATGGATTAATAATTTGTTATTGCAGGCTTGCTACAGCCAATAAGACACAACCTCTTTATTCAGCTGTTTAGCAAGGCCAGCAGCAGGTAGCATGTTCCATCACATCCACTCAAGACTGTGATCTATCACAGCTGCTTTTCTTTTTAAAACAATAATGATGGCAAAGTTTTGGGAAGTACAAAACCCATATGACCTTATTCTTATTCCATTAGTCATTTGCTACATCGAGGTCAGAAAAGGGTGCCCTGTAAATGGTTTGAATTATACTTCCATTTTTCAGAGTACTATGGGAAATAAAAGCAAGGGTTTTTTTTGGAAGGGGTGTGTGTCTTTGAGTTAGTGTTGACCTCTGATGATGTCCTGAACTAATCCCTGCAGTTTCCTTGGCAATATTTTTGGAAATGGCTTGTCATAACTTCTTCCTAGGGCTGAGAGATAATGACTGGTCCAAAATCAGCCAGCAGGCTTCATGCCTAACATGTGTCTAGAACTCATGGAGTTCTTAACTGCTTAACTGCTGCACTAATGTTAGACCAAAAATCTATTACATATTTGTTTTTCTTCCAATAGGTTGGGAAGGGTTCAGATGTGAAGAGGATATCAATGAATGTGCATCTAATCCTTGTGTACATGGTATATGCATCCAGAGAGAACCAGGCCTGGGTTATACTTGTTATTGCACATCTGGATTTGTGGTATGAGCCAAAACCTTATTATTGTCACTCAATATGAATAAGCATGTGCTGTTGAAGTTAAACTTACCAGAGTCTGTCTCCCATTAAGTTTTCTTCTTTGTCTTAAACTTGAGATCAACCATTAAAGATCAAGTCAACAGATAAGAAAAAGCTTCTGAGGCTTACTCCTGACTGGTAGATTCAGTTGTATAATAGTTCAGCATCCAAAGGTTATATGCTCTATTTAAATTGAGCTTTCCATTGTCTTTGAATGGGAAGCCTTAACTTACATGATATAGTTGCCACCAGGCTACTGTGCAAATGATCTGTAGAAGGATGCCATCACAACAATGGCATAAGATGAGGATGTTACACAGGTACCTTAAACTGCTATTTTCAGCCATATACAAGGTGTCTTAGGAATCAACCTGTGTGCAAATATTTATGGATCAAGTTCATAAACTAAAAGTAATATATTTACTATGTTACCCAAATTCTATTCTATTCTATTCTATTCTATTCTATTCTATTCTATTCTATTCTATTCTATTCTATTCTATACATTATTTATTTGTTCAGTTTACATTAAATCAAGATATACTAGAATTATTCAGGTAAATATAACACTTCTTCTTGTCCTAGGATAAATGAACTAAAAAGTTTTTTTAAAAAAGAAAGAAAGAAAATGCCTGCTCTAAAAAGCTCTAGACTAGAGCCCAAAGTGATTTAGTATGCAGTTTGTAGTATCAACGCCCAATGGTTTAATTAGTTCACAGTTTGAAATTATCAAGAGCTCAGAACTTACATTGGTTCATATCTATGTTTTGAAAACTTGGGTTTCTTGTAAAATGAGCTAGTTTTGAGAAATAAAAGCAAAGAGATGGGCTTATTGCAGTTACTTTATGGTACCATGCTTCAAATTAAAGTTTTTTGATGGAATTTGTCATGCTAGGTTGTTGCAACAATCATTCAAAAGCTCTTGGATTTGTGAGAGCCAAAATGTTTATACCTAAATACAGATGCACTTGATATTATTAAACCAGCAGTGACAGCAACAACTAATAATTTGATACAAGGTCAAGTGAGCTTAATGATGGAAATAAACTTCTAAAGACAAACTATTATGCTCTGTAAGTGAGTAGCTTTATGCAGAATTTCTGAAGATCAGAAGGTGAAAAGTCAGGGAAAAGACAAGGCTGTGTGTATAATTCTGAAGAAACATGGAATTTTTTTTTTCATGAATCCTTCTAGTCTGAATATATTTACTCTGAAATAAGATATTAATCTTACTTTTTATTGTGTAGCCATAAATATGGTAAGGTCAAAATAGTAATTACTTACCTCTCTTTTTCCTCCTCTGGTGCCACCTATTGTCAGATTTGTAAAGAATCTTAAATATGTGATATTTTGTAGAATTATAAGTATAGTTGATAATACCTTTGGAAATATTTTTCCTTTGTTAATAAAATGACAGGGAATACAGAATGATCCAAAACTTGAGACATATATGTTGAGTAAGACTGAGATCACTTGAAGGAACAATGGTTTTACAGCTGGAAAATATTTACTGTACCAGTTTTCTCATTATTTCTAATTGATAACCAGCACACTGGTTGTCGCTGTTGTGGCAACACTATCTTAAAAATGAATACTGTGAGTAAAACTAAAGCATTATGTCAGATAATGTAACATGTCTACTTAGCAATGTTTGCTTTACCCAAGAGTAAACTACAGTGTCCTGCTACTACCTGCTTAGGAAAGATGAGGCATATAGCAAGTTAAAATGGAGAAAGAAATGTGGTTTTGAAGCCAGTGTAACATAAAGTCTTAGTTTACATACTTCTCTATCACTTGAAATTAATTTCCAAGGAGCCTGTTGTGACATTGAAAAGCAAATGACTTGGAGACAAAGCTCTTCCTGGCATGTCACCTACTGTGAGACTCTAGGAATGAAACCTGACGTTCTTTGAATTGACTGGAAGTCAAAACACCATAATTGCATTAGAGTACGAAAGCCAAGGACTATGCCATAAAATCAGTACAGGCAAAAGCGCTCAGTAGGATTACATTAATTTGGGGGAAAGCAGTCTGTCCACTTTAAATTGACAGCATTTGGAAAGCAAAAAGAAAGTCATAATCAAATTATTTAATGTGACTATCAAAATGCAAACGGCCTTCCAAATGACATTTTAAAAACTTCTCTTCCAGGGTGAACACTGTGAGCTTAATTACAATGACTGCTTAATGAAGACTTGCCCTGCTGGATTTCTCTGTGTGGATAGAATCAACAGTATCTTCTGTTTGCCTGAGGTTCCCAATAAAGTCCAAAATATCTCTAGTATGGAAGGGATATCTCCAACTGAACCACTGGAGAGAGGACTCTCAGAGGCTCAGCCAAGCCAATTGTCTGCTGATGTTTCTGGTTCTCAAAGTTTCACAGGTAAGTGGGGAAAAAATACAGGAAGTCCTTGTTTAGAATAGAATAGAATGGAATGGAATGGAGCTGGAAGGGACCTTGGAGGTCTTCTAGTCCACCCCCCGCTCAAGCAGGAGAAACTATACCATCTCAGACAAGTGACTGTCCAGTCTATTCTTTAAAACCTCCAGTGATGGAGCACCCATGATTTCTGAAGACAAACTGTTCCACTGGTTAATTATCCTCATTGTGAGGAAGTTTCTCCTTAATTCCAAGTTGCTTCTCTCTTTGATAAGTTTCCAATCATTGTTTCTTGCCCTGCCCTCTGGTGCTTTGGAGAATAATTTGACTCCTTCTTCTTTGTGGCAGCCCCTCAGATACTGGAATACTGCTATCATGTCACCCCTATTTCTTCATTTCTTTATACTAGCCAAACCCAAGTCCTGCAGCCTTTCTTCATATGTTTTAATCTCCAGGCCTTTGATCATCTTAGTTGTTCTTCTCTGAACTATTTCCAAGGTCTCAACATCTTTTTTGTAATATGGTAACCAAAATTGGTTGCAGAATTCCAGGTGTAGTCTCACTAGGGTTTTATAAAGCAGTACTAATACTTTGTGTGATCTTGATTCTATGCCTCTGTTTATACAACCCAGGACTGTATTAGCTTTTTTGGCTGTTGCTTCACTCTGCTGGTTCATAGTCAAGTGATTGTCCATTAGGACTCCAAGGTCCATCTCACAGTCTAGTAACATACTCACTTAGGAACTATTTACAGTTACAACAGTGATGAAAAAGTAATTTTGTGACCAGTCCCTTCATTTATGACCTTCACAAATATGTAATCCAAAATAAAGTTGAAATAAGATATGCACAGTTGTGGTTTAACTTAGTGACCACTTCCTTTAATGATGGACTTGCCAGCCGCAACTATGCTTGCTAAAGGAATATATTCTTTTTCAATAGAATAGAATAGAATAGAATATTCTTTATTGGCCAGTTGTGATGGGACACACAAGGAATTTTCTGTAGATTTGGAATTGGGTTTCTCCATGACATTTTTTAAACCTAATTGGAACTGAGCTGATATGTGCAGATTTATACGCCTCATAATAAGTGCCTGCTTCCACTGTTAGCATAAGTAACTTGGGCCTGGAAGTCAGATAATTGTACTTACTTCTTGAGAATGACTGTGAACTCTATGCCTTTCTTTTCCTGATTCGTATCTTTCATTGTCTGCGTTTTTCCCATCCTCTTGGTAATTTTGAACATAAGAATGTCAGTAAGAAGGTCTTCAGGGTTTTCCCCTATTCCTTTGTTTGTCAGATTTAGGATAAAAAAGACTTGGCTAGCAGAGAACCCATTAAAAATGGATCAGAACCATAAATTCAGAGGCAAATATTGATTGTCACATGTCCAAGTTCATTTATTTAACTATAGATACTGCAAAAACATTTGTGCATTGCTGTCTTGTTCAGCTAATCTTTCAGGGGCTTTTGTCAATTTTTAAAACTAAGTCATATTTCTTCTTGATATTGATAAGTAAATTGAATGTGACCCAATTAGTAAATATCATTACCTTGGTAACTTTTCCAGCTCATGATGTTAGCCTTTCAAGTTCTCTATGGGAAAGACATGTAATTTATTCTTTTTATATTGATTCTCAAGAACAATTTGATTTAGCAAATTTAATACATTTCTTCCAAGCAATGCTTTTTTTTTTTCCTGGCTACATTCTCCCAATGTGAATAATGGGAGGACTTGCATTTAGTCAGCTCTTGAGGTCACTAAAATCTTTCTTACACTTTTATTAAGAATGTGATTTACGGAGTTATATTTGTCTGCTATAGGATGCCTGGGTGAGAATTAATGGTTTTCAGGTAGCATGCAATTTGCTGCTGATCCAGCCTAGGGCCAAAACTCTTCATTTTTATTTTCTTCTAACTTTTCCCCTTACTTTTTATCCTCTAAAGGCCTGCAAAATACTGACTTCCTCAGCCATGGCATTCTTGCATTCTCTAGCATAGTAAAATTAATGTCCAGCATATCATTTAATGGCTGGAGTCTAGGATCATTAACTAGCATTGTGAGTCTTCAGCAGCATTCTCTCCCCCCCTCTTTTTTTTTTCTCCCTCCCTCCCTCTAAACGCATTCTCACTACACAGTTATGAGGGTTTCCATCCCTTTTCTCAACCAGAATGAAGTCTGACACAAGTGCTGAGCTATGGGCAATGATTGATAATTCCAGCAATTTAACACTAGTCTTGCTCTCACAAGATGAGTGTGATATGACCTCATTTATCACAGACTCCTTAATGACAACTCCTGTTCCCTCTGCATGAAGTTTGTCAGTGGGGAACCATAATAGTCTTGTTTTATCTGCGGTAGACATTAGTTCAGTAATTAGTAGCGTACCAGACACCAAGGTTGAATTAAACAGCCACTCATTACATCCCCCCAGATCCCAGCCTATGACTGCATATTGGATTTTTTTTTCAAGGTTGTCTCAAGAAAACAGTAAAGAGCAATCAGCTGTTTCTCTAATTGGCAACAAGTGGATTTCATCTAAACCTCCAATGTTTTTCCATAAGAAACAATCAATTTAGAGAATATACGGTAACATTTCAGCAGGTTCAAAAAGTCAATGCTTCCTCATGCTTGTACACATATTAAAGTTTCATATTTCAAATAACGTTTGCAAGGCGTTAAATTGAAATTTGATTTTTCCTTAAATAACTTAAACCAAACTTTAGAGGGAGGGGAGTAGGAACTCTCAAATGAATTCTCAGATCAAGCTTTGTATAGCAAATATCCCTCTTGTTATAAGGCATTCTGAATAAATTCAGTAATACTAATCAGCCAGTATGTATTAATGAGTTCTTTGGATGTTACATCTGGACATTCATTTATTTTGTGCATGTAAAATAGCATCATCAATGAAGAACACAAATCCTTCCTAACTTACTGGAAGAAGTAAAGGTATGGAGGAATGCAGTCCAAGTAAACCTTGAGTGGAAACAAATATAGAGTTCATGTGCATTTAATCAGTTGTGTAACAACTGCCCTCTCTACAAATCATCGCTTTATTGACACCATTTTCAATAATTTCAGTCTCACAGAGATCTAACATGTATTTGGCAACAGATATGAAATAACTTCAGTATATATTCTACACTGGGAGAATACTGCAGAATTTAATGGAAGAAAGTCATCAGTGCCTCAAGATTATATGACTTTTACTCTGAAAAGCGAAGTAGTTTAATTTATTAGGTGCTTATCACTAAGTGAAGTAGATAGAGTAAAACAAATTATACAGTAATATATTAAAGCAATAATGATGACAAGTCCATGTTACACAAAGACATCAGTTCAGAGAGGGATCTTGAGTTTCCTCTTAAACATGCAAGCATTTAGCAGACCGGCTTTCAATCTTTATTGTTGTTGGTACAGTATGAGATTTCCTTCTGTTTTAGCTGACCAGTAGCTCTCTGATCAAACTCACTTTGCTAACATTTCAGTGCCATAAGATTTATTATTGGATGAAAAACAGGCTCTCAGTTCTGCTTTAGTAATAATAGGTAGTGCCTCACCTGTGAACTAAGAGAAAGGGAAAGTTATAATAGATCTGAATGAAAATGTTCTGCTCTTGGGAATTGGATTTGTGAATGCATATAAGGATGTAAAGATGTATGTTTAATTATGAATTTAAGGGCTAAAATGTATGTCAGAAAGTATGAATTGGTACAATCTAACCTGTTCTGAACACATTTAAAAAAAAACCCCAAACCCACAAAGGTAGGGAGACTTGCATGACCTGCTCCAGTGAATGGTGACAATGGAAGAATCAGAACTGAGATGTAGGGAAAATAGTGAATTTTCTGAATGGAAGCAATTTAAGGGAAATATTATTCTGGTATGAAAATGAATGGGTAGGAACAAGAAGAAATGGTGTGCAGAGAAAATTACTGGACTATTTAGAAACCCAAGTATGAATTAGAGCAGCAACTGTTTTGTGAATATATCATTTAAGCATAAACCTGGGTAGATATATGCATAGCAAAGGTGTTGGAAAATTACTGAGGATAATTTTGGGGTTGCACTCTGCTAGTTCCTGTATCTGGATCAGCGCAAGCACACATGCCACTCAGTTCAGCTAGGAAAAAAATATAGCTTAACATTTATTTATTATTAACCTCCAAAAGTTAACTAGCAACAAACTGACAAAATGTCAGGAACAGATCTACATTATATAAATCTAACTACAGCTACTGTATATCAAAAGGCATAGAATTTTCCAGAAGCAAATAGTTCCTCTTAAGTGATGCCTAATTTTCAAACACATTCAATTATTTTTTAGTAGGGAACTCTGTAACTCTTCGCAGTTTTTGACCATTTTCAATAGCATCCATACATCTCATTAGAACTATGTGCTGTAGATTCACCAGTTAATTATGAAATAAATATAGTATGTTGTGTTTTAAAGTTGAACATGTAGTTAGGTATAAAATAAAATAACTGTCTTCTTTAAACCAAGTTTAACTCCTGGTGACTTCACGGCTCTATCTATGATGCTTTTTTTGGTAGCAAGATGAAAATAGTTTCCCAATGTCTTATTCTGGGATGTTAGTTTCATTTTCAAGTTTAATCTTAAGCATGGATATTTCTTCCAAATACTAACTAATACTTAACTCTGTTTATTTTCTAAGTCTATACGAGCTCCATTCAGTTGTACCATTCAGCCAGGCTGACTCTGTGGTTTAGTAAGTAGACTAAACTGTAATATCTATATTATGTACAAATGGAAAATGTACTATCCATCTGTAGATAATATAGATATTATAGCTTTACTGCAATTTTGGATTCAGATATTGGTTTATTTGAGAGCCAATTTGATGTAGTTTAAGGCATCAGGCTAGAATACAGAAGGCTGTGAGTTCTAATTCTGATTTAGATAGTTGGCTGAACTTGGGCCAGTTATTTTCTCTCATTCCCAGCAAGGAGGTAATGGCACATGTCTATTGAAAAAT